GGCACCAATCGCCAATGGCCGCTGCTGATCGCGGTCAAATGCCTGCCGCTGATCGCCGCCGTACGTGCCCTTCAACACAATGTCGGTTAGATCGATGCCAATCCATTACTCTTATGCCGTCGCATGTGGCACAGGCCAATCTTCATGCATGAAAGAGGACGTGAGTGAAATTTCTGCAGCACACTCCAAAGGCCATTCTTGTGTCCTCGGGCTGTCACCTATGCAGCTTTCGTCATCCAAGGTACCGTTGTGCCTTAGGGGTCAATGCGACAGCGCATCAGGGGAGGGTGGGTCCAAGGCGCCCAAATTTGATTGCTGATTTTGTAGGTTTCCTCTTCGACTTCCCAAATGTTGCCTTGCCATCGTGGACGGAGAAGATCTCATTCAGACTGAGCAATGGTACGCCTATCGTATGAAATTCAAGTGCGTTAACAATTCATTATGCGAGAGTATCCACCTAGAAACCGTCAGAATACCTCTCTTGAAATTGGGCGCAGCTGCACATAGAACAGATGCAAAGCGGAGCCCTTCTTGCACGCAATTACACAGAAGAATGGGGCTAGGGAGGCGCAAAGGCGAAATCCTCCTTCCAACTGGAAAGTGCCCATGTTCATGCAGCTAAAGTGAAGAAGTTTCGGGAAACAGGTACCAGCAGGTTTAGGGATAAAAGGTCGCTCATCATGTTTGCGTCGCATCAAACGGCCTCCGGGCGTCTCAGATGGCAATGTGCACGACAGACCACCTCGTCCTTTTGGAAACGATAGGCACAGTCAGGCTTCCATCAAGAACTTGAGACTTGGAAGAGCATTGCAGTGGGAAAATGCGATTCCCCCCGGCCCCAGATCGCATGCAGCCCTGGTGGGAGACATCGACGTCGACGATACACATTCCCAAAAGATTTGGAAGGAAGCCAACTAATTCCACTGTGTGTGCACAAAGCGGTTGCAGATATTTCTCATGACGTCGACAAAGGCATCCGCTACTGGGCTGGCAAAAACTCTGCTCCATTCTGAGATGTTGCTGTGCATCATGCGGGCATTGATCAAACCTTTCTTCTGTGTGAAATGGAGCGTCAGAGTACGGGGTAGAGATGCTGCCTCCTCCGGAACATTTAACCGGCACGCGACAACCACAGAACCCAACCCGCGATCTTGCCGAGGGCTAGTTTGGCAACCACTTGACAGCTGAGTCTCCACCGGTGGTGGTCCCCTTTTCCCTACGTCGGTGGTCACTAGGAAAAAAAGGGCAAAATAACACGTGTTCAAACGTGTACGAAGTTTACGGGTTCGTGTTATTTTTGTGTTCTTAGCATGCAGAACTTTGATGAAATGTGTTCTATGCGTGTTCGCAAAAGTGTTATTTGGCCCTTTTTTTCCTAGTGTGGTGCCACGGAATTCTCTCATGTTAAGGTCCCCCAGCACAATGCCGCTAACACTTGAAACGCTGGCAATAGTGGATGCTGATGCAGACATTCTCTCGATTGGGGTCCGCGCCCATGTGCAATATGATAGATGACCAAGTCGTCCATAACACGCACACATTTTCACAGATATACTGTGCGGTGATCTCAGTGTCCCCAAACTGCCCGCCGGGCCGTTGGAGGTCTCTGAACCCTCACTTCTTCTGAACTTCGCAAAAAAATAGTCAGATTCTTGACTGTAAGTGCATACATCGTGGTTTTCAATCGTTGCTGGAGCAGACAACGATGGAACAGAGCTGTTTTTGCCGTAACACCGTCATGGCCGAGATTTTCATAGCTCAGTTATATCTCAGCCATGGCGATGTGATGGCGAAACCAGTTTTGCAGTCTCCCTCAGGGGAAAGTGCTCTTCACATTGACAGCTTCGGGGGCAGGCTAAATGGGGGCCCAGATATCAATATTGCATTGCACCCGGAGTCCCGCCACAGTGGCTCGTCTTGGGAAAGTGAGGCAGACTTTAACTTTCCTAAAACAACAGGTTAGGGCAGAGCCGTATTCAAAATTCCTGAGGTACATCGTTTTCTTGACTTTTGTGCAACTTGGGCAGGGTTTACTGAGCTCACACGGATGTGCTTGCATGGATTTGGGAGTCTACATGGCAGACTTTCATATCCATCTACATTTTCCAGAATGTAGAACAGCGTCTTTAGTATAACAGAAGGTTTGCTGCTGCCTGGATGCACCTCACTACATGATACTGTATACTGGAAGTGCTATTTCCGTTGTGAAAGTCTGCTATTTTGCTTATTTGGTCACATTTTCAAGATCAGCGCCTTATCCATTCTGGCATGAAGTTTGCATCTCATTGTAGATTTCAGCTGATTTGGATACAAGCGTTATGCAGAGTTAATTGCACCCTCTGTCCGGAATTAGATGAAATCACTTGATTGGGAGGCGACATTTGTATCCATTTCCCGTTTTAATTGGAAGCTCAGAACCAGAGATCCTGTCAGGCGCTTATTCAATGCTGTCAAAACGAAACATGCAGAGGTGATAAGTGCAACTCACGTGACAGTACTTTGAAGCCGAGCAACACCACACCAAATTTGCACTTTTCTCATCTCATAGCTGGTATTTAAAACACACTGTCTCCCAGATCCGGAAGGCCCACCACACGAGCGGGAACTTCCCGCCTTCCTGCAAACGTAGAGCTTTCAAAGCTGCCAAGGCCCTATCTGAACGATGGACACCCATAGCGAGATATATTCGACAGAATGGCGCACTGGTCTGTATCCCGACATCGCTGATTTCCGGAAATCCCTGCCATCATCTGCGCTGACGTGCCGACACGTCTCGCATCCGCCATTGCCAGCGGCTCCCTAGGAACTGCCAGGGAGTATATTCGTGTGCAGAACACTCTCTGTTTGTTGCGGATCTTCAATCAATGGCCTTCAGGGTGTACAAGACACATACGCTCAAAACGGCGTGAATCCTACGAAACACCACTGTGAAAGCTGCTGATGTGCAATCGGGTGACGGCAATGCCCAAATGAACAATGCTTTTGCGTCCTGCGCAGGTACAACAATAAATTCTTGCAGAAGCGCTATTTAAAGCTGCGTGAACGGTCCTGGTAATACCCGTCGTCGTGGGTACACAGCACAGCCGTTCTCACCGATATTTGGGTTCTTGCACAAAGAAGCGGCAATTAATCTTCCAGCCTTTCCAAGATGGTGTTAACGCCTGCAGGCACCTCAACCATGGCGGCGGGGCATTCTGAAATCGTTAGGATTGTGAAAACCGTCGATTGTATGGTTTCTGATTCAGAGATGGAATGTTGTCGGACATCTCAACCACGGTGAAAATAGACAATCGGGCAGAATAGAACCCTGTTTAGCGGTGTCTTCACTTTGCCATGGATGGCCCCAATGTGCTGTTGAAACGAAGGACACCTGAACAATCCGCGCTGTGAGCCTAGCTGACATTTGAGCTGTAATTTTTGCGTTTCCTGCAGAGCACACAGGTGACGCTCGGCCACAATTTCAATAAGGAAAGCAACGGTGTGGGAAACTCATCCCTGCAAATGCACGATTTCGTCTAATCACGGGCATGCAATGTACAAAATGCCATTTGTTGTCCCAGCAGATTGGTACTGATGGTGCCCAAGCGTATCTGGGTGGTCCTCACCCCTGCAATGCGATAGAAGACCCAATATCCACTGACATCAGCGTGCAGGGGGAATTGTGGGTGGAAATTAGCTGAAAACGGCTGGAAATGTTTCCCAGCACATGGATGGGGTGGGGTAGGGCGGGGTGGGGGAGGTTATTGGTGGTGTTGGAGCATCGGCAGGAACCCCCATTTGCATCGGTGGGAACATCCCATATACACAAGTATCGGGCGTTCGACAACCCACTTTGGGAGAACCGATCGACATCAGCATATACTGTGAGTCTTGTGCTTAATGCTGGTGTGACCCTACCATGGCTGCTTGTTCCTACTCCCACCCATGCGCCCTCAGTTGGTATGTCTTGTAGGCTTGGTCCATGGGTGGCATCGCGGGGGCCCCTCCCTCGCACATCTGATAACCAATCAGTGGGCACATCCCCTCTGGCCCTCAAAAGCTCGGCTTGATCTGAGTCGCGGCGACTTGACAGCAAGTGATCGCCTAAACTTGGTTACATTGACCCTGCCACGCCCATCGATGTGTTCTGTCTTCGTTGATAACCATTGCACAGCCTTTGTCTGGTGCGATCATCAGTACTCCCCCACAGAATCCGCTCAGAATCGGAGCATCTCCAACAGTTAACCAAATCACTGGAAAACCAGAGTGCGCATCCTAGCCGCTGGCAGTCTAGCCACATCCCCCGCATTGAAGGACAAGACGAGTTCTCCATGGCCCTCAAGGTCAGCAGTCATGTCCCAGGACAGATGTTGGAGCATGCGCATATATTTCATCTAGGGAGCATATGTTAAGTTCCCATGTTTGGTCCGGTCCAGGAGTACAATAATTGGCTCCATGGAGGGAACAAACTTCACAGCAGTCGACCTATTTGGGGACACACCATCATAAGATGACACCGTGACGGTTCCTGGCATTAGTGGTGTTGATGCAGTCATTGTCCTATGACCAGCAGCAGCAGCAGCTGCTGCTGCCAAACATATGTCTATCCAATGCATAGGATGGAATTCTTGACTTCACAGCATGTCTGGCAACATGCCCCTGCACAATTCTATCTGCGATTTCTCCAAACCAGCAAATTGCACATTATACACTGTGCAGTGTATGAATCCATTCACAAGTGCTTTGTGCACAGCACTATGGTGCCGCACTGTTGATGGTGCCAGTCCTGTGGTATTGCAACTAGGATGCTTGCACGTTCAGTCCACACAGGTGGTGAGCTCACAAAATGAACGGAAGTGGGACACAGAAACGTTCTTGAATGTATAAACCCCGTCATCACCTACAAGGTGCAATGACACTGCTCCGTCTTGTTGAAGGCAATTTTGAACGAAAGAACACAGAACGCCCAATCTTGTCACTGCCTTGCAGATGCAAAGGCATATCCAGTCAAACGTGCTGCCTCAGGTTCTCCAAGTCTGAAAGGCCTCAAAGTCAACGAAACAGGAGCTCGCATTGGTGTGGCCCCCACCACCAAAGAATTCGGAGATCTTTGTCGTGTCCTCCCTCCCCAGGCTGCGGAGGCTGCACTTGATCTTCCTCCTGTCATTCATTTCTGGCTCGAAGTAAGCCACCAGGCCGATCGCCCGCAAACCACGTGCGCGGGACATCCTTGCAAGCCTGTTTCCGATTCCGCTGCGCAGATGGTGCAGGTCGTCCGCTCGCGCTGCTAGGCACCTGCCATGAGCACAGCTGGTTGAAAACTTACACATCATAAAATGAATGCACATATGTGACATGCTCACGCAATACGTATAGTAAACATGTGAATGAAATCAGGACTCTGATTGCTTTGTGGATGCTAGGCCTGTGTACTAATGATTTCTTGAAACACAGAAAAAGGACTTGTGCATATGTACAGGTGCTTATCCACAGATATTTGACACTCTTTCAGCCAACGTGGGGACACATGCTATACGCGATGCATTTTATACTGTGTGCTGTGCCCTCTGCAATGTGTGCTGTGTGCTATGGACCATGTCCTGCACCCACTTTCTGTGAAAGGATGTCGCTTGTCACAGCAGCAAAGGGACATATTTCATTGAGCAAGCATCTGCTGCTTGAACTGACAAAGTGCTGAACAGGCCATAATGTACGAACAGGTGAGCAAAAGTGAACATTTTGGAACAAGTACCCAAAATGACGCAACCCCAAATGAATATAGCTACTTGTATACACACATTTTTCCAGCAACAATTCGCCTAATGTGCTAAATTTGTCACGGTCATGTTTGCATAATGGCTGTGCTTCATCATATGCAAACACCATTGAGCTTCTGTTTAACTCTTGATCTATGACATGGTCAGGCACCTAAAGCAAATCAGATAACGCACTTGGCAATGCGCGTGTCATCGTTTCCAGCCACAACGGCAGTCCTCTCACATCAGATTTTGGCAAAAACAATCCAATGACTCCTGGAATCGGGAAATGGACAAAGAGACAATGCCTAGTCATGTCTTTGACCACTGCAGTAAATGAGGATGCATCGATCACACAGAATGGCACAGCCCCCCACCTGCCCCAGTCCCTCCCAGCAGCATCTGCCCCGCCAATCGCCACCTCGAAGGCCTGCCGCACAATGGGCTCCATAAGTCCCAAATCTGCCCGCATCTTTTTACGCCCCATACGCGTCATCTCTGCTGTATCGAGGCGCAGCAGCTGGTCAAAAATGCGTGGGTTCTTGTTGAAGTCGAACTCAAGATTTTTTCGGGCAATGCCTGCTGTGTAGGGCTTGCTGTTCTTGAGCTTCCAGCGGGCAAGGTCTGCATCCTCAACATATCGGAATGCCCATCTTGCACACCAGGAAATGCACACACAAGTCAGATACAACAATTGTGATCATGTTAAGATCATCATGACAATTCTGTTAAGATTTCAGCACAATTTACAATACGTTACAGTTTCAAATAGTCATGAATAGGGGTATCTAGGGGTGAAGGCGGTCAGCTGCAATTTGCTCTCAGCTCCTCTCTGCACTCCGTCTTGGCTGAGTTAGAATAAGATCTGTGAATGCAACTACAGCTGGGATAATGATAATGTCCCCGCACCATTGACATGGTTGACCACATTTCGAATGTGTGGAATGCTGGGCAGAACCCAAGCCAGCTGGCAAACTGGACAACAGCAGAACAAGGCACACTGACAACAGATTGTGAAGAGCCCCCTTTTCAGGCTACCCTCCTGCTGCAGCTGTACTATACCAACACATGTGGAGCAGCAAAACTGTGGTGTATTCACCCAGTACAGTGTTGTTTGCAGAGGCCGCAACTGTTCCTGGATGCCAGAATGTCGATCTCTGGCTCCATCCTAAATTGGTGTTGAGCTTGGACAGTCCCAGCAGCAATCATCTTGGGAACAACCACGGGCCTCATCATCAAGCAGTATGCGTACACACTGAATGTGCATGAACATACCATTCAATGCACACCACCTGGTTCGAATTTATGTATACACTTCATTATCTGCAAGGTGTAAGGGTCCAGCATTGTTTATTGAAGGGCAAAGCTAGGAATGAATATTAGGACACCACACAATCAATGCATTCCTCCCAAACACCATCCTGACCTCGAATCTGTACGTCCAGCTTCACCCAAGAGAATGTGGGAATCCCCAGTAACAATTAAAGGCAACATTGGCAAGGAAGGATCTGCAGCGGCCTGCTTTGTTTCCAAAAGCAGAAGTTTCTTTCCTGGTAAGTTCACAACAGTCAGAGGTTGCTTGTATTTATGCACTAACTTGTTCTGCTGCAACACGGATGAGTCAAGCATGCAGTGTGTGCATTGACTAACGTTGCAGCCCATATACGATGCACACTGATTCAGTGTCGATTCTTAAAAGTGCCAACAAATCATCAAAACTATAAAGTCTTGACACCTCAATTTTGGCGAATCCAAAACTGCACGTGGTTTAAAGTAGTCCATTGCAATTGTGGCAGCACTCCTCTTCATGTCCAGCACAACATCCATGTTGGCAGGACAGCCACTTCCCCTTCCGGGCAGAATGTCCAGTGCTGTCTTGTGGTGGTCGAGCACGGTGAGCCTCCGCACCACCTTTGCAACATTCAAGGCAAAACCCCTGTGCGGCAAAGCCATTCACTTTGGGCAAATGATTGAAGGAGTTTGAGCAAAATTGAAGGGGTTGAGCAAATGAATTGGAGCAAAATGGATTGACAAAACTGAACAGATATTGAACTAAACTGACCATCAAGACATTCCCTGGGAAGCAACTCAAGAAGGCTTGGTGGAGCACTATTTTCATTTTCGCCTTGCCATGTATGGAATAGAACGATGTGTTGCATTGACACATCGAGGCAATGATCTTGCCCAAGAACACCCATGTGAATCTTCACATGTGTGCCCCACTGGTTGTTTCAGACTAATTTCACAACTCAGCTTGCGATAAGATGCTGCACACAAGTGTCAGCTGGCCAACGCACTTATGCAGTGGGGGGCAAACTGGGTTCATTAAGGGCTCGCTGAGATGTCCAGGAGGGGAAGTCTTCCATGAAATGTGGCCAGTCAATGGGGACAAGGGGCCACGATGTGCACCCCAAGCGCCAACATGCGTTTGAATCTGAGCTGCATGGAGTTTTCTTTAAGCGCCAGGCAGAACAAGAAAGGCGAAATGGTGATGCCCAGGTCTCATGGGAACATCCATCAACCGCAGGGATTCGACGACTTGTTGTGTAAACGATGTGCAACCAATCCAACATCTTGGGAATACTTGTTGCTTATGCAATGCTCCTTGTTGTGTGCTTTCCTCCTACATTTAAAGCCCTCCAAACAATCTTTTCATGGTGTGCACCAGAGTCGCACATGCAAATTAGCTCGTCAGCAGGGGATCGGCCAGTGTCAGCACAGTTGCGGTTGTGTGGCATTGTTCTCCCGTGTTGTCACAAATCTCCCAACTCTTGCAGCCCCGTGGGGCCACAAGTAGCGGAAGGCGCGCAACCGCCACAGCCCCGATCAAAACTTCGGCGACGCATGCACTGGGAATTCCCACAGCTGTATAGGAACCGGTGAATACACTACGGTACGTGAAGGTTGTCCCAAGGACTGCGCGACGCCAGGGAGGTGAAAGTCGGGTCCCAGCCGCACCTAAATCCGTACAGATCCACCGGCGATCGGGCTGACAGGCATGCAACATCCACATGCACTAAGGCGACAATGGCCAGACAAACCTCACTGTCGAGCGTGCTCCCTCTTCCTATACTTTCCCCGCGCACACGCAACGCAAGCAAACATCCCAAAGCAAGCATCCCCAAGCCAGCAGGCCCGAAATTCGCACACAAAACACGATAAAACGTGTCGGCAGAAGGCGCAAAACGGCGTCCGTACCCCCCCGCCGTGGCGCCACATGCCTGGGCCCCACGTAGTCCAGCAAATAAACATGCTCGCCACCCTCCAGCCCCAGGTCGGCCGCGCACGACGGCGGCGAGTGCACCGTCAGCGGCACGAATCTGACCCGTGGGCCGCCCTCTGGGAGGCCCAGCCGCGCGGCCAGCGCCGCGAAAACGCCGTCCAGGCAGGGGTAGTGGTAGCACACGACGGCGGGAGGGGGATCGGCGGGAGGGTCCATGGCCGCGGAGTCGTCGGGGCGTGGGGAGTGGGACCGGGCAGCATGGCGGCGCTGCGCCGCTTGGAGGGGAGGCCGAGAGAGGCCCGCGGGGCCGTTTGCCCGCACACCTTGGAAGGGTTGCGGGGCAGTTGATGACCTGCCCATCAGCGCCGGCAGTCCATCATCATCATGCTTAAATCTCGGGGGGCCTTGCCCACCCGTTTATAGACTTGCTTCTTTGCGTTAACTCGGGTAAGGAGGGCACAATCGGGGCGCCTGACCATCTACTCTAGAACTGAAGAAAACATACGCAGAGTCTCTGCTCTTTTAACGCCTTCGAGTGCCGTCACACCTGTTTGCCAACTGTCTCTCCTTACTTTAAAATTCAAGCGATGCACGTGAATGTTGCACAGAGCCCCTTGGACCACCGCGTGAAGGGCGTCGACGATGCCACGGAGCCGGCGGCGATAATCGACGGAGAAATCGTCGGCCGAAGTGATCTGGAGCAGGGTGGCGACGATGTCAAAGAGGTACGAAGTCACCGGGGCCCAAGCGCAGAGCTGTTGAAAGAATCCGCTACCAGCTACCAGCGCGGTAGCCAACTCCTGGCCCCACGCGGTAGAGGCGATTGGAAAGGCGGATCCGGCCTTGTTGGCGGAGGGGGGGCGGGAGACAGGGTTCCCCGCGAAATGGGAGAGCTCCTCCTTGGATCGAATGGCGTGGGCGGCGACCACCTCCGCCCGATCGCCGGTATAACAAATGCACAGATCTCGCAGCGTAGTCAGCAAGGCAGCGTCGCCAAGCTGAGCCTGGCGGAGGCGCTCCTCCTCCGCAGCGGCAGCAAGGGCTGCGGGATGGGCCAGGGGTTGGGGAGGGGCCCGTTCAGCTCGGAGAGCTTGAAGTTCGGCTTCGAGTTGGGCCAAACGAGCAGCAGGATCGCCCATCAAGGGGGCGTACCACAGACCAGCGGGGTCTGGATTGCTATCACGAATTCAGATCGTGATCGATGGCTTCCCTTAGCTAGGAAACCGAGCAGAGAGCTCGGAGGAGAGCGCTTGACGCGTGAGTGCGAAGCAAAAAACGAGATAGCCACACACTCGTTTCGCCAACCTTTAGTCCCAAGTTCCCCGTTTGCACGGATCGTCTCGAAACTGCGTTCCCAGCCGTGCAATCTGTGCTCAGTTCGGTTTTATGGACTTTATCACCAACCGCGCCCCGAAGCAAGGGTCGCTGCCCATAAGCTAGCCATAATTTTAAGAGTTGTGCCAAACACTTTCTCACTGAGCCAGTCACATCCAGTTTGCGTAGCGGCAACACCATTCACACCGAATCCAAGTGTGCCCACAACGGACACTCCCATTGGCCGTCCAAAATACCCTCCCAACGGCCCTAATCCCGATTTAAACACATTCACTCCATTTCATTCCGTCAATTCCGCTTAACAGCATGCTTACATATCGAGGCGAGGGGGCAGTCAGCCGCCAGTCCAAGTGACTACCATTTTTTCTTGGCTTTTAGTCCACATCACGGTTTTAATCAATCAACCGTATTATTTCCCATGGTGCCATCAACGCTAACGTGGCCATTCTAACACATTATCAATGGGCAAGCCCATTAAAGTCATGGGCATTGCTGCTTGTAAGATGGTGGTGCATAGGCACTGCAGCACGAGTGATGAAGCGAATTAACAAAGTTGTGGCGGCAACGCCACTCAATGTTGTTGTAGCTCCATCCCAATTCCCGTATGCATGGGCATCAAGAAGTCAACCCTCCCTTTGGCCATCTCTATTTAGACCTTAGGGACAAGCCGATCGAACAAAAGACATTACGGGCTCATTGCATACAAGCATGGGTGGGCTAAGCAAATATAACGTAAACATCAACTTTGGAATAGGCGTTTATCAGGTCGAATACCTGAGTCAACAATGACAATAGAAACTAATCATTGTGTAAAATGGACGTTTCAAAATTGTATGATTACTGGGTGCACCTGGGTGCACCAGTCATAAGTTGTTTGCATGCAATCCAAATACTTCTTCTGTCCAGAATTAATTGTCCTCTATGACTTTGGCGCCCTACTTCTCCATCATAATATTCCATTTATCAATGAAATTTTGTCCGAAGCTGCGTCTATACTTAGGGAGTATGTGATCAAAATTTCACGTCAATCCGTTGAGTAATGCGTTTGGCACCACTTTGCAGCAAGGGCCCTCCGGCCAGAAACGCACCCAGTTTTCAACTGTGCTTCTAGAACCGCCATTTCCGCTGTCTTGAGGAGCACGCTGTTGCGGCAGCGCTACAGAGCCACCATTGCAGCACTATTCATGCCGTTTGGACAGCAGATCGTAGAGGTGTTTGCAAAAGAATAAGGCAACCGGAACGCGTCTTGAAGGCCCTGATTGTGGAAGCCGCCTTGCCTTGCGGCTGCAATTCAAGCTCGATTGGCCGCATCAAGGTTGCCCATCACGCCAGGTTTCTGGGCCACGACTTTTGGACCAACAATACCGCTACAAGGATTAATGCAAGAAGTTTCTGAAGTCCCTTGCATATGCCCGAGGAAGGTGGTGGCAATCACCCCATTCAGCTGTAGACAATTGGGGAACAATTAGGCAGTGGCCTTCCTTGATGACAATGGTGAATCGAACATTTTTTTGGCATTCGAAGGGCTTCAGCCTGAGAAGGCTGTCTAGATGGATAAATCCATGTCTCTCAAGGGGAAACGCACTTGCTGGGCTACGACGGATTGTAGACCTCGCCCAAGACTTGGCAGGTGGTGGCAGTTTGTGGGGTATGGACCAGGCTGCCACAAAAGCGTCGATTCAAGCCTCAATCAAGGCAGATTGTCCAAGCAAGTCCACTACATAACCTTGGAATGACAGCTCGCACATAGCCAAAGTTTCAGCGCCTTGGACCCTAACTTTCTCCGCTTGCTTTACGCTTTCGAGTCGAATATCAAGGATTGCCAAAATTTTGGAAATCGTCAATGCTGTGAGATGGTCTTCTACGACGGGGATCCAGACATAGTCGAGCATGCTTAGCAAGCGCTATTCCACGTGAGGAACGCCGCCGCTCATCGCGACGGCGGCAAAAACTTGTTTTTGGGACACCTAGGAATGGGGCGACCCGGAGCCATGTGGGTCTCTGGCGTATGCGGAATCAGCATACACAATTTTTGAACTAATTTCGGCCAAGTTTGAAGGCCCTCCAAAAGGTATGGAACCAATATTTTTTCTTAAATATTGGTAGTTAAGGGTTTTGAGACCTATATTTCCGATTCTTGTTTTCTGTTGTAACTTCAAGTCTTCCATGCAACGAATTTTGTTCCTCAGATAAAGCACAATTAATTCGGACCGAGGAATTCACCAGTAAAATGTAGGCTAGGTGACACGGTCCTGACACGGTCTGCTCAAATCCAACTGTGTGTTTTCGGCAAATATGGCCCCAAAATCACACAGTTCGTACACACATTGGCACGGCTTCAACTGCGTAACCTCAGACAACTGTGTAGACCACACGGTTTCCCAGGGTACACAGTTGAAACTGTGCCAATGTGTGTACTAACTGTGTGGTTTTGGGATCATATTTGCCGAAAACACAAAGTTGGGCTTTGAGCAGACCGTGTAAGAACTGCGTCATCTGGCCTGTTTTTTACTATGTTTACTAGTTGGAACATGGGAGTTGAATCCTTGGCGCTGGCAATCCGCAACACGTTTTCGGCAAGCCAAGGAGACATCTTGCAGGGTGGCCAGAAAAATTGGTTTCTTTGGAAGCAATACCAGCATGATATGCCGGGAAGATGGGGCAGATGGTCCTGGCAGCCCGCGCTGTTGCAGCTCTAGCGCTGTCAGGTATCACTTTTAGGGGTTGCGCAAGAAAAGAGGCTTTTTCAAAGGCAATTCCATGCCCGTCGATGAACTTTGTGCATAAAATTCTCGAGCCAGGGTTCCGTTGAAAGGAGTTGTTCGAATTGGATCCCAGAAGCATGCACAGGCAGGTAGTAGGGCGTATGAAGAAGCACGCAGCTGCCACCACCAACACCACAGTCAATGTCGACTATTGCCGGTCTGCGTCAGGGGTTACTTGGAAAGGCCTAGCACTTTATGGTACTTGTCTTTGCAGCTTTTCCTTAGGCTTTGAGCCTGTGAGGCTCTGATTAAGTGAAGGTTAGGATCCAAGACGCCTCATTAGGCCCTCGCAGCCTCTGCCGCTAGGTTGTCCTAGCGAAAAATCGTCGCAGTTCCCTATTTGGTGGTTAACGTATTCATTTTGTTTCACCTACCAATGTCTCCAGCTAACGTTGTCTATTAGGTAGAACAAAAGCAGCCAGAAATCTGAAAGGGGCGACTTAAGGTGTTTTATTTCATAGAAATTTCGGCGGCTGCCTGTGGAAGAAATTTGGACTTGGAAAGAACTTTGGATTGAAATTCGTGCTGGTATTAATTGACCAGCGATTCCCTATCTGAACAACATACCATAGCGATTGATCCTGGTGCTTTTACCACTCCATCCCAACATCATAGAAACAACACAAGCCTACATGTCACGGGGATTTCCAATGAATGTGATATCACTACAAGTTTATATTGAAATCATATCAATTTATCATGTTCCATAGGCAGAGACATCTAAATTGCAGTGCACTGCAATTTCGGGATTATTGGATATGCAACTTGCTTGGAATTCAGAGACTGCTTTCGTGATTGCGCAGAAGTAGCACCACACAAGATACTTATTTTGGGTGAGCCAAATCGAAAGTCTTGCGACGCTTGCTGCAAGATCAACGTAGAACACCAAAGAATGTTTACCAGCACCACGTCTACATTTTGCGACGGGAACCGTCAGATTAGGCGGAGAGGTGTGTTGTGTTGCGCCAAACCTCAAATGGCACTCCTCGCCATCATGGCGCAGGGTGTGCAAGATTAAGTCTCAACCAGGCATCGCGTGCCTGGCAGCGAATTGGAGGGAATGCTTGGGCCATCCCGCTTCCTGTTGCTTGCGTTCTGCGTGGCAGCAGGTTGTCG